AACGTCCGTCATAGAAGCAGCGCTGGAGCAGTTAGATAATATTCTTCGCTACAAGTGAGACTTGATCTCCGAGCGTACACTTCAGTTGTCCGCAAAAGCAAGAGATACACGGCTGATCAATTCACCTGAATTTCGCATTCTCCGTCGACAAGCCACACGCTCCGCCAAGAGGGACCGTAAACAATACTAGAAAGCAATTGCAGACAGCATGGAGGCTCCAACCGTCGCAGTGGAGTTTGGAAAGCTAATTCATCTAATCCGTGTTACAGAAATAAAGATGCCGACATCGAAACCATTATTGCGCGGAACCGTAGGTCAACTTATTCAGGGAGCTGAACAAAAATGCAAAGGTTGGTTGAACACTTGACACTTGCTCAACCGCCGATCAAACCAACCTAGCTCTCCACATGTGTCAGGCAGTTCGGAGACTTACGACATCAGTTGTGATCCACCAAGTAGACAGAAATCATCAACGTAGTCACTTCTCTGAAATGCAGGTAAGGCCCCTGGAGAAGTCGGGATACCACCAGAGTTATTCAAAACTTGTTTAACAGTCCTGATTTATCAGCTGCACTCTCTTTTACACATAATTTGGGAAAGGCAAGTTGTTCCAAAAGATTGAACAGCTTCGGTTTTAGTCCCGGTTTCAGAAAGGGTGAGATATCTAGATGCGAAAGTTGCAGAGGTAATAGCCTCATTGTTGTTGTGACCGAGTTGTTTGCAAACAACTGAACAAAAATGCAAAGGTTGGTTGAACACTTGACACTTGCTCAACCGCCGATCAAACCAAACTGGCTCTCCACATGTGTCAAGCAGTTCGGAGACTTACGAAATCAATCGTAACCTACCTAGTAAGACAGAAGTCACCAATGCAGTCACTTCTCTGAAATGCCAGAAGGCCCCTGTAGAAGACGGGATACCACCAGAGTTGTTCAAAGCTTGCTTACCAACTCTGATCGATCCGCTGCACTCTGTTTTCCACACTATTTGGGAAAGAAAAGCTTTTCCAAAAGATTGGGAAGCTTTAGTTTTAGTCCTGTTTCCAAAAAGAGGTGACAGATCTAAATGCGAAAATTGCAGCGGTATTAGTCTCATGGATATTACGGCCAAATTGTTTGCAGTGATACTGCTTAATCGCTTCGCAGTTGTCAGAGCTACCCGCTTTCGCCCGAGCCAAAGGAGGTTTCGAGGCGGAATAGGCTGTCGAACAGGTTTTCACTCTCCGTAGGATTCTGGAACACCACTACGAATTCCAATAGCCTACCACAGCATGTTTCATTGAATTTAACGCTGCGTTTGACTCTGTTGATAGAGAATCCTTGTGGTGCATATTACGATCTGACGGAATGCCTGGAAAGTTTATCAGGCTGTTTAAGACATAATACTCAGGAACCCATACCTATGGAAAAGAATCAACTGAGTTTACCCTAAGCTCTGGAGTCAGGTTGTCCTCTATCGCCGATGTTACTGAACTACAACGTAGATTGGACAATGCAACAA